AGACATTTAATGCAGCAATGAATTAGCCTTTCTACTCACAACTTTTAGCCTGTAGATGAATTTTATCAATTTGAAACGACGAACAGCCAGCCATATTTAAGTTATGTGTATCAAAGAACTTCCAGAAAGATAGGTGTATGCAGAAGATCATACATATAAACCTCATATGCTGATGTAATTGTAATAATAGAATTTGTGTGTGCTGCATGAGTTTAAATTTTTCTCTGTGTAAGTTTTTTTATTATTATTTTTCATTTTCTTTTCTAAGTATGCTGCTGAAGATGACAGTCTTCTGGAATGTGAACCCGTGTAGTTTTGTAGATAAAAATCAACTACCCCCATCTTTATTCTCCTACCCTGAAGACAGTGTAACAGGTTGCTCTGAAACTTTGGTACCCATGTACAAGACAGCATCTCGTCACATTACAGAAGACTCTAATCTTAATATTCATAGTTGGAAGACGCTTAAATCCTAAATTTTATTTTTAAAAGCCTGTTATTCCTTGGCTTATTCTATAGTGACTGGTCAAGGACATACTGGGGAGAATGATTTTTCTCATCTTAGATTTAAAAAAAGAAATGTAATTTCCAGGTGCACACATCTGATCACTCTTATGAAAAGAATCTCCATATATACATGTATAACATAAAAATAGCGAAATCCCTAGTGTACAGATTTATATCCATGTAATGCGTGTACTGTCCGTGTGTGAATATGGGTACAAAATCCCTAGTGTACAGATTTATATCCATGTAATGTGTGTACTGTCCGTGTGTGAATATGGGTACAAACACATCAGAAGTTTTTCTAAATTCTGTTATAAGGTACAGTGGCTTTTTAGTATCTTTTTTATGACAAATATCCAGAAATATCAGTCAGTTGCAGACTGACACGCCACTGTGGTTGTAATCACATATTTCGTATAGTTAAGTCAAATTATGCTATTTCTATGATGCATCGTTCTTAATTTATGACATACGAGTCACTTACGAATGATTATATGATAAGTAAATTTATGAAGAAGAATTTCAAAGAGAATCATTGAATTGTATACAAACAACTGATCTGTATTTGTGAGGTTTTAGGCTATGACAATGATGATTATAAATATGATGTGTAGTGTAGCAGATTCTTGTTGAAGTTTCAGAGGAAGGCAGCCATTTTCAAAACAGTGTAATTGTATATAAACCTGTTACCACAATTAGACTTGTACAGTAGTATCCTCCTCCAATTTGGAAAATTGAGCGTACAGATCCTCTACTTTATTATGTTCTCAGTAACTTTGCTGTAGTCACTGACTACATCAAAGACCATTTAAAGTTTTTGCTTCAACTGCAGAACCCATTTATATATATATTTTTTTTTTGTTCAACAACTGCTACTTCACTGAAAAACATTGTGGCTGGCCTTTACTAATGCCACACAAGCTATTTAAAAAAAGAGTATGGACTTACAAGTTTCTTTTTTTTTCCCTGGGGCAAAAGTAATATTAGAATATTCCTTCAAATGGCCAAAGAATTTTGGTTCCCTGTATTGGAACATAGCTGGTGCCGTATTTAAAATAATTATTTTTTGTGTTAATGGTTCTTATATTCTATTTTTTCTCTCAAACTCCTTGGGAGGTTGTGCAGATGCTTTGCTTCACCCCTTCCTCACTGGTGGCCATTTTGCTGGCAGTGAAAGTTTCAGCACTATGTTATTTATGTAGGTTTTGAATATGGAAGTAACGCTCGATAGAAGGGAGGAAGAACAAGTTAGGAAATGTACGCATAGCATAAAAGTTCTTCGCATTCACTCCCGATTAATTATCTCGAAACCCGAGAGACGCATGAAAGCTGTACATTGTGTACAAAATGTACACTGCGTTTTTCTGTACAAAAAATCTATGACAGATTTGCTACTATCATCTGTTGAGTTGAAGAAAGCAGTCTTCTGGGATTTGGCACCGTGTATATGTGGTGTTAACCGACGTTTCGGAGGAACGTATCGCCTCCATCTTCAGGGTAGAAGAAAAAATGTATAAGAAATCTGCAAGCAAAGAGACCGTGAGAACCGGTAAAAGCAGACACGGTCTCTTTGCTTGCAGATTTCTTATATATTTTTTCTTCTACCCTGAAGATGGAGGCGATACGTTCCTCCGAAACGTCGGTTAACACCACATATACACGGTGCCAAATCCCAGAAGACTGCTTTCTTCATAGTCACCGCCGTGAAAGCCTCAAATCTTACATCTGTTGGGTTACTTGAAATGCATGAAGAACGCATGTAGGGCATCATGTAATGTATCATTTATTATTAGATAATCCCATTTAACTCGTCCTGTTTGTCTCTCTGGGGGTACCAACTCGGGAACAGCCAGAACGATTTTCATTAACACTTATGTGGACAGGTTTTACTAACATTTATAGTATACCCATTCCAAGTTTGGTTAAAATATTGCCAAAACAGGGGACACTTAGCATCCAGAGCTACTTGCGCTTTTGCGCACATCTCGAGCTAATATAAAGCTAACCTTGTTAGTGAGGGCACATAGGATTGTGAGCCGTAGAGGCTGGCACATTCTCTAGGCAATCAGCTCACAGATGGCGGTAAGGCCGTAAGCCTTACGCGCCGGCCACTCTTTACCCCCAGGAAAATTCCTGATACCCATTTCTGTTAGAGGCTTAGTCGAGTCCAGGGACAAATTGCGGCTGGAAGTATTAGGTCTACTGAAAAAGAATCCAGAGAACTCGTCGGGAATCGAACCCGCGACCTTCCGGCTTCTAGCATATTGCCTCAGGCAGCTGAGCTGCCGCGTGCCCCAACATCCTGATCGTAATTTGCTGATATTTATTAGAGCACGAACTGTATAGAGGAGTGACAGAACTTATCCTCAGAACTGTTCCCGTAAGTTCCCTGATTTTTAGATTTTAGAGGTAAAAATACTGAGCCGAATTGCAGTCATTGTTTCGCTATGCGTACACATCCTAACTTGTTTTGATACTATTACAGTAGTATGGTATTAACACAAAATGTCCATAATGTGCCTTCCTCAGCCTACAATATTAAAAAGGCGCATCTCAAGTTAACAGTACGTATAGAGACAGTGACCGAGTATTGTCCCTCATGTTAGCTGCGGTGGTGATGAGACCTGGATATGTGATAACATGTACGAGTAGATACTGCCATGTCAGCAGCGTCAGCAGTCTGCCTTGCAGGGTTACGCGGTCGGTTGGCCGGGTAGCCGCTTGTTAGCATCGCGTTTCTTGCACCTGCAAGCAAGAAGCTTTGGTTGGTAGGAAAGTTCTCACGTATCATTCGTGCGAACAGGGGTGTAGTGCTAAAAATAACTTCTTGGGATGTCTGGTAGGCAGATTCGGGTTGAAGGAAATTGCCATATACGAGATCGTTCCTTGGCCGTACTGAGTGACATGTTTTAACTTGCAAACGGAAAATTGAAGGATAAAAACTGACAAAATATACGCACTTAGCAGGGGCTGACTCATTGGCCTATAACAGACGAGGCCTGAAATTAAGTTATATGTAAATTCTGAGATTGCTTGGTATTTGGGCCATGTACATTTTCAGTGTTATAAAGAAAGATCGTTTCGGCAGCTGTATCTGTTTCTGTCATCAGGTGAGTGGGTGGGAGACACCTGCTTTTTGGTCCCGTTAGATTGAGCTAATGATCAATCTTCAGTCACTGGGTGTTGCGTTACGTAGAGTACTGGACGATGGACAAGTACAAAAGCTGAGAAGTCCTGAGTGTTTATACACCGAAGTCAGAAAATTTCACAATATCTGTAGGATAATTCGTTGGTGCATGTATTCACTGCTTTTAAAGAAGGTGCCAGGAGAAAATATCCGACACTGAAACAGCACCAGGAAAGGATGCTGGCCAGCCCTTCGTTGTCCATCCATTAATCAGTCAAGCAATCAATCAATCAATCCAGTCCAATCCAATTTCAATCCATCCATCAATCAGCGGTTTCAGGCAGTGAAAATTGTCCTCAGCCAGTGGGAGGAAAGAATCTCCCACTGATGGAACCGGTTGTCGGTTGTTCATAGGTTGTTTCTACAGATCGGGGTTTGTCCAGTGATTGAGACTAGCTCTTTCTAAGGGGCCCAACTGAGTAGGTTTACCCTTCCCTATCCACCTGAAGATGGAGACAGATCCAGTCTCCGAAACGTCGTGGTTTTTTTGTCTTTTATACCGGACGATGGGTGAAGTCCAAAATAAGCCAAAAGAAGTACAGGTGGATAGCGTAGTCGGTATAGCGACTGGCTACGGGCTGGACGACCGGGGAGTCAGTGTTCGAGTCTCTGTAGAGTCAAGAATTTTCTCTTATCCACGTCGGCTAGACAGGCTCTGGAGCCCACCCAACCTCCTATCCGACAGGTACTGAGGGCGTGTTCCACGGGGTTACAGCGGCTGGGGCTTGAAGCTGACCGCTCACCTCCAGCTAGTGCTGAGATAAAAAAATATGTGAATCTGTACATCCACTCCCCCATACGCCTTTATGGGGTAATGCTTATTTAGTTAAGCATAGGGACGACTTTTACCTTTTACTTAATATTCCCACGCCACGTGACAGACCTGAGTTCCAACCCCTTCCGTCTGAGTTTAAGGTCCATGGCATGAAATATCTTGAATTAAAAAATCTCTAATTTATTTGACATACAAAAATTGCGTTTTTGCTAGTTTGTGGCATGATTGTGTGATCAAAGAGTAAATTAAATGAGTTCTGTTGCTTCGTGTAGGCCTCGCTGTTTCCGGCTTTAGTTCCATTCCCCGCCATCAACTGCGTAATAAATTGTAAAAATTTTGGTAGGTTTCCGCGGTCGCAAAGTAGTTCGCCTGTTGGATTGCTGTCAGTAAATGGTTGTGTTTGAGATGAGCAAATCCGTACAAATTCTGGAAGCTTCGGCTTGGCGCGAAGTAGTCCGCCTGGCGCATTGATACATGTGGAGAGTTCTGTTCATCCTTCTGATGAGCAAGACCAGACACCGCCATATTTTAATTAGTTGAAGACGCAATATTAGACAATCCATGTCTTTGTGATAATATAAGGAGGCTGGACGGCACTTTTTGATATACTGTTAGTGTTTTTCAGCTTTACAATAGGTATGTTTTACGGAATAGAATTAAGTATGATTTAAATGTGAAAAATAAAGACGCTGCAACGGCTTTAAGACAAGGAATATTTTAGAAGGCGACGCCATATTAAGCTTGTTTACTACTTTCCTTTGTACGTAGTTTTAATTACGAATTTCATTAATTCTTTATGGAATCAAATAATATTAAATAACAAATGATAATAGTAATTGAAATTTATTTAATACGATTAATTACGATAGTGAGAGTTGAAGCTTAAGACAAAGAGATTATTTCGAAAGGCACAGTTTTTCACGCTGCATGAGCTGAAAGAACCACTGGCCACATTTGCTGTGCAAGCGTAGGTCGGGCAGAAGTCCGCCATTACGAGACGAAAGTAGAAAGTTTACGTAAGTGGTGTGAATTCTTGTTCTTGAAGTGAAGTGATAAGTTTTGTTGTTATATTTCGAGTTTAAAAATTCCTGAAATTGTATAGCAACACAGGCTGCTGTATAATATTTACGTTCCGAAATGTAAATTTTATAACTGACCCCGCACATAGGCGTCATGTGTGTCCAAACTTGCCTTTGCATTGCAAGTAAGTAAAACTAGAAGACTGTGAAGTTGACTGGCATTTTGTTGTTGTTGCAGCAATGTCACTTGGTAGATTAAGTAACATTTACGTGAAAGTACAAGAGGACATGAAGGACGTAGGGCAAGTGCCGGAAAGGTTCACCCCTTATGCATTCATTCAACATTTACGCCCCAACCACATCATAGCATGATCAGCGATGTGATGTTGTTTGAACTATGGTATGTAAATGTGCTAAATACCGAAAGTTAGAAACGTGTACGTGAAAAAATATAGGTTCTTGTATTGTCAGTAGAAAAGAAGGTGTATGAAAGTGTTTATAAGTGGCTTCATTTTGGGTTTGTGTGAGAATTTCCCATCACGTTTTGCCGAAATCAGCGTGGTGCCAGCCCAGTGCTAGTGGCAGAGTTGAATGCATTTAACAGCCGTACTTCCAGTGAAGAATGAAAATAAAAGTATCTTATGTATAGGACAGTTAGAAAAAAATTGTATTTTATAAGATTTCAGTGTTTTTTTCATATCAAAGAACTTAAATGTGTTAATTGATGCTTTTAATTTAAAAAATAGTAAGTAGGTGTGTGTATAGAGACTTAAGAATCATATGGTAGTAGCAGTATTGTTTCTTGCACAGACAGTCGCTATGGTGAGCTGAGAGACACCGTGGATGTTTGTCTTATGAGCTGATGATGAAGTTCGATGAAGAACCGAGACCATAGGAGTAAATGTCCAGGTATGACTATGTCTTCTGCAGTTGGGCAGAGGTATTCAAAAATACATTCTTGTATTTACTTTCAAGAGAACTTGCTTTTAATCCTGTTGCAGTTCAATAATTTGTTAGAGGAACCCCATTTATGTTTCAACTGCTCCAATACAAGACATTTGTCTTATTTCACCAAATTTAACAATTTATTATTCCAAAATTATAATGTGCTCCAGGCTACCCAAATTACAGCCATTGTGCTACTTGTTAGTGTAAAAATTTGCCCCTGTTCTGCCAGAATAACCATTTTTTGTTGGGTTATTATTTTATTGTGAAGACTTATTTTTAATATAAGTACAAAATTTTAACTTCAAGGGATATTAGTCTGTTCATTTGTATAGAAGGGAAATTACATTTCTTTTTATTGTCTAAATACTATACTCGTACAGTCTTAGGAATGGCAATATGCATGCATAGAAATATTGAATATCTTAGATATTTTTACTCTTTCATATTTCCACAGGTAATAGAAAATTTGTGCTTGAACTCATGGCCCCAGCTTTTATCTTGCTTACATATTCCACAGCACGTAACATTTTTATATTGTGGAAGGAATAATGTGCTCCCAGTTCCCATAATCAGAGCCACAGTGCTACCCACCACATCTGTTGCATTTGGATTGTACTTCAGTTGTGATGTATTTGTTAGTTTTGACTTTTAGATGTACACATTTTTAACTTTAAAGGATGTGAATCTATTCATTTGTGGAGAAAGTAGATTTGGGACAAGCGTATTAAGTGAAAAGAATATAATTAATTTTCTTTCATAAGATAGGTCCAATTTCTCAAAATTTAATTTCGATATTGAAAGAATATAAATATATTTATCTGTACAGAAAATACATTTCTCCATATTTTACTACTAAAGCATGCGTAAACACTTCTGTAATTAAAAGAGGAATATAAATATGTTCATTTTTAATGAGATTACATTTTGCTTTTTGAAATTTTGTCATTGGAAGATTTAAGTATATCTCATTTTACATAACAGAGAAATAGTCAATGAATTTTATAAGAAACATTAATATTTTAGAATTGAAACATGGTGATTTGTTTGGTATCATGTCAAAATGAAATTGCAGCGTGCGTACGCACGCACATACACATACTCAGTTCTTGCTTCTCTCTCTCTATATATTTCTTCCTACGATGTCCACCGTCCTGCCTTTCACAGAAAAAGTAAAGGTGTCTTAATTTAGGTGAATTCTTGAAGAAATAGTTCAGCAATCCACTTCATGAAACTTTTGTTGTGGTACAGCATATTAACAAATCTGTGCATTCAATTAGGGTAAAGCTTTCCCCATGCTTAATCAGTGACACTCCACAGCTTGAAAATATATTGGGGGAGTGGAGATATAGCTACAGTATTCATAATATTGGTACTTGATGGAGGTTAGTGGGAGCTTCATTATCTTGCCACTTTAACCCCATGGAAAGAGTTTTCAGCGCCCGTGGGGTAGAAGGTTGAGTGGGCTCCATAGCCAGTGTGTATTTTGTTGAGAAGTGATATATCTTGCCACTGCCAGGAAGCAAACCCCTGTTCCATGGCCATCCAGTCCAAAGGCATTCACTGTATTGACTGAGCTATCTTGGCTTCTCTTCCCTTCCCTTCCCTTCCCACCTACATTTGTAGGAGATATTTAATGCAGCATTGAATTAGCCTTTCTACTCAACTTGTAGCCTGTTGATGGATTTATTAATTTTAAATGATGAACAGTCATATTTAACTTATGTGCATGAAGGAACTTCCAGAAAGGTAAGTGTATACAGGAGATCATGCATTTAAACCTCTTTTTACCTGGGTGATTTATAATAATACAATTTGTGTGTGCTGCATGAGTTTGTCTCTGTAAGTTCCTTTTCGTTTTTGAGTGTGCTGCTATATAAGTCTTGTGTGAAATGATGCCTTGTAGTTTGGCAGGCAAGAACGGACATTCAAAATTAACCAGCTGGTCGCTTTGTTGATCCTGCTTCCCTGAAGATGAAGGTAGCAGGTTCTTCTGAAACATTAGAACTTATATACCAGACAACTTGGTGTCACATTCCAGAAGACTCTAAATCTTAATATATTTTACTTATTTTGAGGTATATTCAAGGAATATACATGTCATTTTTGAGAGAGAAACAAGCCTGTCACCTGCCCATTATATTTAACATAAAAATAATTACATTTTCATATCGATGAGCCAGGATAGCGTAGTCGGTATAGCGACTGACTACGTGTTGGACGACCCGGGAGTCAATGTTCGAGTCCCAGTAGGGTCAAGAATTTTCTCTTCTCCACGTCGTCCAGACCGGCTCTGGAGTCCACCCAACCTCCTATCCAACAGGTATCGAGGGCTTGTTCCACGGGGTTAAAGCGGCTGGGGCGTGAAGCTGACCGCTGACCTCCAGCTAGTGCTGAGCCCAAAATATGTGAATCTGTACCTGCACTCCTCCATACGCCTTCATGGCGTAATTCGTATTTGGTTAAGCACAGGAACGAATTTTACCTTTTTCTTAATGTCCCTACGCAAAGTGACAGACCTGAATAATTATCCCGAGTTCGAACCGCATGTGTTTGAATTTAAGGGTAATGGCATGAAATCACTTAAATTGAAAGAAATCGCATATTTATTTGATATACAAAAATTACGATTTTGCTAGTTTCTTTCAGGATTAATACTGGGTTATGTGATCGAAGAGTAAATTAAATGACTTTAGTTGCATCATGTAGGCCCCTCTACTTACGGCGTAGTTCCGTTGCCCGCCATAAATTTCGTAATAACGTGTGCAAATTTTGGTATTTTTCCGCGGGCGAAAATTAGTTCGCCTGGTGTATTATCAATGGAGGGTTGTGTTTGTTAGAGTTGAGCCAATCCATACAAATTCTGGAAACTTCCGTCTGGCGCCAAGTTTCCCGCCTGGCGCATTGATACATGTGGAGAGTTGTGTTCGTTCTTCTGATGAGCAAGACCAGACACCGCCATATTTTAATTAGCTGAAGACGCAATATTAATCAATCCAATTCTTTGTGATAATATAAGGAGGTTGGACGGCACTTTTTGATATACTGTTAGTGTTTTTCAACTTTACAATAGGTATGTTGTACGGAATAGAATTAAGTATTATTTATAAATATCAGCAAGAAAGACACTGCAACGGCATTCCTTCAAGTTATATTTTGCAAGGCTGCGCCATTTTAACCTTTTGTAGTACTTCTCTTTGTACGTAGTTTAATTAAGGAATTTAATGTTTATTGGATCAAGCAATATTTTATATGCAATAATAATTATGTTTCTCGAACGTAATTAGGCGTATGGATGTTAAAGCTCAATAACTACAGATTATTTCCAAAGTAGAGTTTTGCACGTTACGTAAGTTCAAGACATCACTGCCCATGTTGGGTCTATAAGCGTAGCAAGGTACAGCAGTCCGCCATTACGAGACGAAGCTGGAAAGGTTACATAAGATAAATGAATTCTTGTTTTTGATGTAAAATTTTAAGACTTGAAATATTTTTAATTGAAAAGGGAGGGAAGTGAGTGAAAACCTAGTTGTATATAAATATGTTTTCGAAATGTGTATTTAGTAGTAATGTTCATCCTCATGGTAAGGCGTTACGTGTGGGAACATTTTGGTGGATGGTCTTGCATTGAAAGTAAATACAAACTAGACAGTGATCTTGACTGGTGTTCATGCATTGTGTGCAAAGTAACACGTCATGAATGTGTAAAGAAAGTGATAATTTTATATTAAGGAAAAGGTGTGTGAAAGTGTTCTGAAACGGCGTAATCTTGGGTAGATTTACAATATTTTTTATCTTCCACAAGACAAGTGTGATTCCTCCACCTGTAAGCCGTTTGTTCAACGAATTTTCGGTTTCGACTTGTAAGTTTTAATTTACAATGCTAGTTCATGGTTTTCATGTAAATCTGATTATTTTACATCGCTAAAGAAAATTGTTTTAGTTGCAAGTGATTATTGCATTACAGAGCAGTTAGGGATAGTTTCTGTCTACATTTGTAAGAATTAAATGCTTTTCCCACAGTTAGATAGTTACAGTGCTGAGCCCTTCTTGAGAAGCCATATCTGCAGCAACTCGAGAATTTCCCAGAATTTTATGGAACATGAAGATTCGTTACCGTGTTCACAAGAGCCCTCCACTGGTCCCTATCTTGAGCCAGATTAGTCAAATCTATACCATCCCATCCTATCTCTCAAGAATAAAAATATATTTACTTATGATTCCATTCTTTAATTTTAAATAATACCGAACAGTTGTGTATGCAAATTTTGGAATTATATGGTAATAGCAGTGGACCTTGTGATTCCACAGAGACAAGAACAGCTGCCACAGACCATGGGAGTTTTCTGTGTGGATATGAGAGGATGACGAGGGAATGTGATCAAGAGCTGAGACCATGAGATATACAGGTAGGTCATCTTATGCAGTTGGGCGAAGGTATCTGCAGTGGTACAATTTGTTGTTACCTACTTGAAACAGATATTTCCTAGGTGATAGTGTTTAATATTGCCTTCATGATGAAGACATGCCTGTTTAAACTCATGTCATAAACAAAATTTATGTTTCATTTCTGTATTTCAATAAATTAGTTCTAATGAAGATCCCCCATTTTCCTTAATCATATCCACAGGCCCCACATCATACTAGCCCATTTTGCTGCATTTGTCTACAAAGTTTTTTTGTTCATGAATTACAGTTCTTTTTGGATACACGTTCCGTGCAATTTAATGTACGGATATTTGTATTTATTTGCACTAAAGTTGTCAACTTGTAAGACTTACAAGTATATATTCTCTAAGTTGAGTATAAATGTATTCATTCCTACAGGAAATGCATGTCATTTCTCCAGATTTTGCATTAAGAATTTTTTATGTATATGGAATATAAATGTGTTAATTTTTAGTGAAAGTAAATGTTTCATTTTTTTTATTTTAACTTCATTGATTCAGGTAGCTGATATTTTACACCGCAGAGTGTAAGTCTGTCTATTCTGACAGAAATATTGTTTCAAAATTTGGACAAGTTGACTCCTAGATTGCAGCACTCTCACATAGTTCTTGCCTGTCCTGATATCCTATGTTCCTACAATGTCCATTGTTATACTTTTCACAGAAACCTGGAAGGTGTTCACTCAGATGCTGTGCTGGGATGTCAGAAGACTGCTGTAGTTCCAGTTGCAGGTAAGGATTAAAGGTTATCTGCATCATCCACAGTTATGCACAACAATTTTCAGATGCAAAATATGCAGCTGTACCTGTATCTGATGTAACGAGGCAGAGTGGGGTAGATATCGTAGGAGTTTTCTAATTTTGAATCCTGGAGCCCACCTAAATTGTTACATCGTGGCACCCCTATTACAAAGAGCTATCAGTCAATGTCTTTTTATTGTGAGATTAATATGAAGCAAATACTCTATAGGTAAATTGCAAGAGACATTAGATAATCCATTAGGAAGTACAAGTAGTAACCACTGTGTTGTAAAGAGTTTAACATACATTCTGTGACATAATGCAGTTAATTTTTGAAGTAAGAAAGTGAGCCCTCTAATTCCATTAGAGAGTTGTCATGGCACAGTAAAATTGTGATTGCCTACAGGGAACAACAATATATGTTTAAGGCAGTAGTGAAATAGTCCTTTTTACTCATTTAACAAGAAATTAACCATATATATAGCGTGTTACACTGAGTGCCATGGGATGCATGTATTTCAGTCTTTATCTATGTAAAATCCTTAGACTATTTTGCTATATTCTGAGGCAAGGTAAAGTGGTCTTTAGTCTCCGCATTTTTGCAACATCCTGACAGAGCAGTCACTTAATGTCTTACTGACACATGTACACCCCCCCTCCCCACAGTAATAATCACAGGTTTTGTATGGTAAATGAAGTTAACCACTTGTATGGATATGTACATGAGTTTTGAATGTAATGTGAAAAGTAAAGCTATCCCCGTAACAGACCGTGAAGGCCCATAGGGTTGAGATGAGGGTCCCACATTTTCCAGACAGTTGGCTCAAAGATGGTGGTAAGGCTGTCAGCCTTATGTGCCAGCTGCTGCTTTACTCCCCAGGAAGATTGTTTAATTAATTCCTGGTACTCATTTCTGTTAGAGGCCGTAGTGCAGCTGGATTAGGTCAATTGAAAAAAAATTCCAGTGACCACCTGGCTTGTAGCATAGTGCCTCAACCAACTATGCTATCACTCAAAATCTAAATATAGAAGAAAAATTATAAGCAGAATATCTAAATTGTATGTAAACCTATTACTGGATTTGTGAGTTTGAGGCCCTAACAAGAGTGACTAAAGACTATGCGTAATGTAGCATGTGTTTATCTGCATTTTGGAAGAGGACTGCAATCTTGAAAATAATTTTATATCTAGCTACTGCCATATTACTCAGTGCTCTGCTCCAGGTTGTGTAACAATATATAAACTTTATTACTGTATAGAAATCCCTTTCAACAAACCGACCTGATTTCAAGATCACACAAGTGACTAGGTGATGCCATTGAGGGAAGTTAACACCCACCAGTATTTAAGATAGAAGGATTTTATTTTAGTTTTGATGTATATATTTTATTATTTCATTCTGTCTTAAAAATAAAACAGATGAATGCCAGGTCCCACCCTTCCTCCCATACCTCATGCTGGTGCCTATATCAAGATTTTATTTTAATTTTATTTTTTGATGTAAGTATTTTGTTTCATTGTGTCTCAATAAAGCAGATGAATGCCAGGTACCCCCCCTTCCTCCCATCCCTGATGCTAGTGCCCATATCAAGATTTTATTTTAATTCAGTTTTTGATTTAAATGTTTTACAATTTCATTCTGTCTTAAAAATAAAACAGATGAATGCCAGGTCCCACCCTTCCTCCCATACCTCATGCTGGTGCCTATATCAAGATTTTATTTTAGTTTTTGATGTAAATATTTTACGATTTCATTCTGTCTTAAAAATAAAACAGATGAATGCCAGGTCCCACCCTTCCTCCCATACCTCATGCTGGTGCCTATATCAAGATTTTATTTTAGTTTTTGATGTAAATATTTTACGATTTCATTCTGTCTTAAAAATAAAACAGATGAATGCCAGGTCCCACCCTTCCTCCCATACCTCATGCTGGTGCCTATATCAAGATTTTATTTTAGTTTTTGATGTAAATATTTTACGATTTCATTCTGTCTTAAAAATAAAACAGATGAATGCCAGGTCCCACCCTTCCTCCCATACCTCATGCTGGTGCCTATATCAAGATTTTATTTTAGTTTTTGATGTAAATATTTTACGATTTCATTCTGTCTTAAAAATAAAACAGATGAATGCCAGGTCCCACCCTTCCTCCCATACCTCATGCTGGTGCCTATATCAAGATTTTATTTTAATTTTATTTTTTGATGTAAGTATTTTGTTTCATTGTGTCTCAATAAAGCAGATGAATGCCAGGTACCCCCCCTTCCTCCCATCCCTGATGCTAGTGCCCATATCAAGATTTTATTTTAGTTTTTGATGTAAATATTTTACGATTTCATTCTGTCTTAAAAATAAAACAGATGAATGCCAGGTCCCCCCACCTTCCTCCTATCCCTCATGTTTGTGCCCATATCAAGATTTTATTTTAGTTTTTGATGTAAATATTTTACGATTTCATTCTGTCTTAAAAATAAAACAGATGAATGCCAGGTCCCCCCACCTTCCTCCTATCCCTCATGTTTGTGCCCATATCAAGATTTTATTTTAGTTTTTGATGTAAATATTTTACGATTTCATTCTGTCTTAAAAATAAAACAGATGAATTGCAGGTTCCCCCTTCCTCCTATCCCTCATGCTTGTGCCCATATCAAGATTTTATTTTATTTTTAGTTTTTGATGTATATATTTTATTATTTCATTATGTCTTAAAAATAAAAGAGATGAATTCCAGGTTCCCCCTTCCTCCCATCCCTCATGCTGGTGCCCATATGAAGATTTTATTTTAATTTTGATGTAAATGTTTTACAATTTCATTCTGTCTTAGAAATAAAACAGATGAATGCCATGTCCCCCCCCTTTCCTCCCATTCCTCATGCTGGTGCCCATATCAAGATTTTATTTTAAATTTAGTTTTGATGTAAATATTTTACAATTTCATTCTGTCTTAAAAATAAAACAGATGAATTGCAGGTTCCCCCTTTCTTCCTATCCCTCATGCTTGTGCCCACAGTATGTTTTGTCACTTCATAGAATTTTCTCCTGCATACCTGCAAGCCAGAGACTTCCCTGCAATATTTATCACTGACAGGTTGTACAGGAACGCTGTTCATTCATAAGATTGTAGTGTTTTGTAATGGAACCAAAGGAGTCTTGTTCAGTGTCTTCAGACTTTCAGGAAGATCATGATAGCCTTCATGTATGAGGAATGTGATAGTCCCAAATGTCTTAGTCCAAGACTCTGTATGTGAACAAAGCTGGGGTACCACATATGTAAATATGTGAAAAATGTGAATCAGGAATTGAAATACAGATGAAGGGTAATTTGTCTGTATGATAACTTCTACATTTCATACTAAATATTGTCAACTTTATCTTACTCTTAAATAATTAAATCAGTTACTGCATTTAGTTGATGTAATTGTTTCTTGGCCACTCAGTAAGTGGTGATGTGACAACCTGGCCCTGCTACCTATTGAGAGCCAGATCAATACATACCTTTCAGATCCTATTTTTTTATTAAGAGTCATTTTATCTTCCAGTCCACATTCAGATCTACAGAAATGGGCTATATGTGAAGTCCATGCCAGCCTTTGACCTTTGTAATATAATGGCAAGTGGAAGTTATGGAGCAGTTTGTTGAGAAATTTTCTTTTTTCCAGACTGCAGAAAATTGTAGGCCGAAATGTACTTCACGATGCCATTTTCGGACACCCCTAAACTTTGGAATTAAATTGGCAAATCGTGTGTTATACATGCATTCAAAGATTCCTCCAACTGATTCCTAACATGTAAAAGGTAGTCTTTATTAATTAAGGGGGCGTTAACATAATCTTTAAAAAAAAAATTGAAATTTTTGTGTTTAACTATAGTTCAAAGAATCGCCCTTTAATTTTTTTTTTGCAAAATTCCAAATTTTACCTATCCCCCATGCATTTAAAGTTCACCTTACCAGGAATTTAAATGCCTGCTTGAGGGAGCTTTTGCGTTTTCCCAGAAACTTCATTTTTACCGATATAATTTACCTTTTCTCAGAAACTAATCAACCTATTGACTTGAAATTTTTTGTGGTTCATTGTCATGTATGCAAGAAGAATCTGAATGATTTAGAAATTTAATTTTGAGAAAAAACATTAAAAAAAAACAAACTTAAATTAGATATTTATATAATTTGTTTAAAAATCTTAAAATTTGGAATAAGGAAAGATGCAATTTACTAAATGATTAACCTTTTAAGTACAATTTATTTTTCTAAATGTAAGAAAAGTTTCAGTTGTTGATACTTGGTAGTTAATGAGAAAATGTACATTGTTCACTGTAATATGTTAAATTACTTATAACAATTGCAGAAGATAATTTTGGATATGGTATATCAAAAGATTAGACATAATTGAATAAACTTGCAAATTTTTGTGAAGATAGCATGAAAACCTGATTTATGAGGCAAACTTTAGATTTTTATAACATTGAAGGTTAATGTTCCCGTAAGCAGTGCGGCTGGTAGCCATATGGTGAAGTGCATGTTCACATCCACATTTTTTGACCCCAGCACAAGCTGTAGGTAAGTGGCCAGCACGCCCCCGACACCTCCCCACTCTACATTACATTGTATATGAGGTTAATTGAACAGCCGGCCTGGACGACTGGAAGAAAAACCCTATCGAACCCGTAGTCTGTCTATACAGACTACGCTATCCTGTCTCATCATGTATTACCACGTTAAAAAAAATTTTCAAAGTTAAAATTCGTGAAAATGAGATTCTGAATAAGTTGAATGTGGGTACGATAATATTAAAACGACAGATCTGGATGAGTAAACTGAGTGGAAACTCCAGCCGTCCGAATTTAGGAATAATAACTTTATTTCATTTATTTTAAACAACATACCTGAATACCTGATTTGTAGCCTGATTGCATGTTGGTGACATCACAGGAAACTCGCTTTCATGTTTCGTGGAGACTGCTGTTTCCTACTTCAGGGCTACCAATGTGTGGTGTGAGAGACCTCTGTTACAGATCAAGAGCCATTCACGCGATCTTTCAGTCTGCTGATTACGGAATACGAAACAATTTAAGGTTTCCTGATGATTTAGGATGCTTGGGGGTGGGGGGTCGGCAAAATCGTTTGGTAATATTTTCCACCATTACAATCTGTAGGTATGCTGTTACGACTACAATTAAGATTGATTTCAGTGTGACCAACAAAGACGGTGCAACTGCGATAATCCAACAAGAATTCCAGGCCACGTCGCTTAAGGCGTACTTTTCAGTGTCGCGGTTACGCATTTTGCTTAACAGTAATTTTGATGGAAATGTATATTCAGTATAATAATGAAATCCCTGTACTTAACTAATAAGAACTACGTCAAGAAGGTGTATGGGGGAGTGGATGTATACATCCTCATTTTCGTGACCTCTGAATTAATTGGAGGTGAGTGGTAAGCTTCACGACCCAGCAGCTTAATCCCCGGTACCCATTGGATTTCTTTTATTTTTATTGCTAGTGGGGCGGGACTAAGTCCCTTGTACTGCGGCCAATTCTGGCTTAATGTACCAGGCCCAGATGATAGGTGAGGGTGATTGTGGAGCAATTGATGGAATGAGGATTGGAAGGGGAAACCGAAGTATTCGGAGAAAACCTGCCCCAGCACCACTTTGTCCACCACAAATCCCACTTGACCAGACCCGGGATCGAATTCGGGTCGCCGCGGTGGAAGCGCGCGACTAACCGCTTGAACTATGACGCGGCCCTACCCATTGGATACGTTGGGTGGGTCCCAAAGCCGATGTGGACGACGTGGAGAAGAGAAAATTCTTGACTGTGTTGGGACTCAAACTACGACACATCGGTCGTCCAGCCCATAGCAAGTCCCTATCCTGGCTCAATAATTATTATTGTTTCCGGAATGTGATTACGCATCACAGTTAGGCTTCGCAACAAATTATTTAATAGCCTCGTGCGCATGGCAGCACTGCCGTAAAATGAGACAGCAGTCCGACATTACGAGACAAGGCTTGCAACTTACGCAACAGATACGAAATCTTGCTATCCAAGTTAAACGTCAGTATTTTTTAAAAAATAATTAGTATATGAGATGTGAAGGAGATATATGTACCTTGATTATCTCGTAGTTTTTATGTTCTAAAATGCATATATATATATATATAAGGGAGGGTTGTTGGCAAGCTGTTGGTCATATTACGCGCGTCAGTTTTGAAATTGAATACATGCCACTTTAATTGGAGTATGGCAAATGAACCGGTTTGTTTTCATAAACTGTATTGCATGGTAGTGGCGATCACAGTGGCCGCGTGGTCTAACACATGAAGTGTCTTCGCTCGATCGAACGCTGGGATCGCGGTTTTGAATTCCACGTAGGGCATGTATGCATTTATTGTTTGTGTGCCGTGTGTAGGTAACGGCCTTGCGAAAAGCTAATCACTCGTCCAAGTATTCCTTATCGTTTGTGTAAAAAAATATTACGAAAACAAAGAAGAAGCCTGGGCCCAACAAAGGGCTGTAGAAGGCCGCGCCATAGCTCAAGTGGTTAGTCGCTGGCTTCCCACCGCGGCGGCTCAGTTTCGATCCCGGGTCTGGTCAAGCGGGATTTGTGGTGGACAAAGTGGCGCTGGGGCGGGTTTTCTCCGAGTACTTCGGTTTCCCCCGTCAATCTTCATTCCACGAAATTCTCCATCATAATCACCCAGGGCAGGCTACAATAGGCCAATCAGTGGCCGCTGTGCCGAGTGGGACCCAGTTGGACTCCAACTCCCCACTAAGCGGGGGGAGGAAAAAAACACACACAAAACTGTAGAGCCACTGATGAATGAATGGCATGGTAGTATGAGCAACTAGTTGAAATATTTACGTTGCACACAAATTATATAACTAAACAACTCCATGAAACTGAGCCCTTC